ACTGGTTTTTAGGGTTTAGGGTTTTGGGAGCTATCACCGCCCAACCTCAGAGTGGGCTTCTTCAAGGGTTTATTGGTTTTTAGGGTTTAGGGTTTAGGGTTTAGGGAGCTATCACCGCCCAACCTCAGAGTGGGTTTCTTCAAGGGTTTACTGGCTTTTAGGGTTTAGGGTTTAGGGTTTAGGGAGCTATCACCGCCCAACCTCAGAGTGGGTTTCTTCAAGGGTTTACTGTTTAGGCTTTCGGGCTCCCCTTAAAGGTGCTACGGTTGATGATATAAACCCTGCATCACCTATAAGAAGGAAGATACCATAAGTCCCATAATTTAGGGCCCTTAACGAAATGCAGGATGTCTATCATCAACAGAGCCACCACTCACTTGGTTGGATGTGCTGCTCATTTTCAGGTTAGGGTTTGGGGCACATGCTGGGACCTTTCTGGGTGTCGTTGGGATCTCCGTCTTTAGGCTTTAGAACTCTATATTCGGGGCTGTGGACACTTCATGAGACTCCAATTTTGCTGCAGTCGACTCCAACCTAATATCCCAAAATGCCACATGCTCTCGGCCTCTGGGGATAAGTATGATGTTACATAAACTTCGGTCATGTCCTTGTTCGAGCCAAACGAACCTTGAAGTTTAACACAACACATTTCCTGGTCGAGCTGCCTCCTGGCACGCAAAAGATCGGATCGCGCATGAAGAATAGATTCCTGATGCTATGTAGGGCAACGTAGGGTTCAAGGGTGCTCTAAAGAGGGGAGAAGCAAGGTCCAAAGTCCGGGTTCTTTATGCTCCTGAATACCAGCAGAGGAGCAAAGCAAAGCAGCTTCATCCATAGTCCCTGAACCCTACAGTCACAGCTACGATGCCAAAAACCCACAGCCACGCCTGAATGCTTCCAACAACCCTACACTCTCAACGCGTGAGTGCTTAGGGTTCGTGTCTTTAGGATTCATTGGTTGGTGCGTTTGTGGGTTGGTTCATGGCTTCAGGGGCTTTGGGTTTAGGGGTTAGGGATTAGAGGTTTAGGATAACCACAAACATGGCAAAGCGTTGCTTATCTTCCAAAGCTCATTAGCGGCGGCTGCTCAAACTGGAGCGAGTCCTGGGAAAGGTTGAGGGCTTAAGATAAGGGCTCTGTGCTGTTCTAGGCTATATATTGAGACTTTTCAGAGCTATATGGGTGGCTGTCAAAATTATGGTCCCCTTTTGGGTCCTTATTATAATACGGCACCTATTATTTAGGGTACCCCCAAAAGGGACCCTAATTTTGACAACTACCCATATCATTGAAAGCAGTTCACTCTTGCGGGCCATGTGTCGGTCCGGAATTCCAGTCAAGACTACCCTTAACCCTTAGAAATCCTAAGCCCTATAATCTGCATTCAGGACTTCGATACTTACATGTGAACCTACAGAAGCAGAGCACGAAGGACAGGGTGGTTCGGAAGCTTGGAGATGTCTTCAAAAAAGATCCTGCCAGCTACGGTTCTATTGTCCCCTCCCTCCTGGGGTCCAAGAAACAATTTTTAATTTTTTTAGGAAAAGGTTAAGGGTTTAGGGTTTAGGGTTTAGGGTTTAGGGTTTAGGGAGCAAGGCACACGATCATTACAAGGGGCAAGCTTTGCATCTTGGAATTCTGTGAGGGGGGTGGGCATTGAGGGCCGTTGTTCGGGGTCCCTTACCGTAAGGGTCCATGCGGCCAATGCTCATATACTCCACATGATGCTGCTCTACTGCCCTAAGCCCAAGTACCCAAATCCAAGGTCTGTGGACCCTCAAAGTCCACTTGAACAAACACTGCAAAACCCGTGCAGAATCCGTCTGCAGCCCTCGTTATCGCATCAACCCTTAACCGTCATAGGCAGTGGAGAAACCTGAATATTTAGCAATACTATTCGTTAGGGTTCCTTCATATACTTATATGA